AAAAATAGTAATAATAAGTATTAAAATAAAAAAATAATAATAGTAATAAATAAAAAAAAAAGAAATAAAAAAAATTATACCGAATATGAAAATCAAAGTAATATATATATATATATAATAATAATAAAGTATAAATGAAATAAAAAATGATAATAATGGAAATATAAGTAAACATATATGATATTAGTAGGGGATTAAATTGAAATAAAAGCTAAATCAGTGGGCAAATGTCAAAGAACATTGAAGATTAAAACCGGAAAAAATAAAAAAGTTTTCATTTTTTTAATAGATTTTCGCACCCTCATTCCAAAAATGTAATTTGTTTTTTCGAAATAGCCTCTAGGGAACGTAGATCTGAAATCAAAGTTTCGAAAAACTCCCTCCGGGTCATCGGCTAAAACATTTGTCTTTGGGTTCTCAAGCAAAGAAAACGCGATTAACAACGTATGCAAGTGAAGAGTAAAGAGAAACAAACGAAAGGTAAAAAAAAGCTTTCACATTTATTACTTCGAATCGTTTACAATAACCTCGAAATCACTTTTTCTTTGCTCGTATTTTTCTGACATTCCTTTTGTGTAACTCGTGTGTGTGTTCTGGTGTGGTAATTACAAGGCTTATTTATAGTACTAAAAAAACCCTATTTTATACTAGTATTTGAGTCCTAATCCAACTCTATTTTAGACTAGTATTTGAGTCCTAATCCAACTCTTCTTTGTTGGTTACATGAAGACTCCTCGGTTGGCAGGACAAAATCTGGTGTCTTCACATACCAATGTTAGTATACTCTCTAACATTTATACTTTAATAATACTCAAAAGTACTATTATTTTCAATTTCTATTACAATTTCAACCTATCTTACAATTTCAGGCTCAATAGTATCGGTACCCCTACCAGGGTATCGATACTTCTATACTATGGTACCGATACTCCCTTTCAGTATCAATACCATTTTTGCATTCTAGACTCCATGGTATTGATACATTTCTCTTAGTATCGATACCCATATCAGTATCGATACTAATTGAATCAGTATCGATATTGTTCATCGTAATTCTTCAAATTTAAACCTATAATATCAGTATTGTTCTTCCAGTATCGATACCCCTACCCAGATTTTCCATTTTTCAGCTCGATTTTTACCAAATTTTTGTTTAAATCTCTTACTTTTACCTCAAACAATACCCTTAAACTTAACATCATTTAAACCAACTAACTTTCCTCCATTTAGCTTCTTATAACATCTAAATTCACCAAAGAACATCTCAAACTAAGAATCATACTATTTTTTCTAACATATTTTTAATAATATTCAATGCTTCTAATATCTTATTTACTTATTTGACAAGTCAAATATACTTGTAAACCCCAATAAAAACTCATATTTTAACATATCAATCAAAAACCCATTTTCTTCAATCTTAAATAAATACTCAATCTCTTAGTTTTAATCATCTCTAACCCTTCCTTAAGCTTCCACATCACTTAAGGTTTCAAAACCAAACCAAAAACTAAAGGAAAAACTAGTTAAATGGAGTCTTAACTTTGGCTATGGGGAGAGCACGGTCACGGGAAAGAAGAAGAAGAGAATATAGCTTAGTGTATATTTCAACTTTCCGTTTTTCCCTTTTTCTTTAATATCCTAATTAAAATGAATTTTAAATCCATTTCTCTCTAAATGACCAAAATATCCCTTTCATTCTTCCATTCTTACTAATTGGTCTTAAACAAAATTTCTAAATCATTTTCTTATACTTTACCATTTATTCAATTTTATCCTCCAAATTTTTAAATCCTTTCAATTTTGTCATTGACCTAATATTTGGGGTTATTACATCTATACCCAAAACTCTTCCTTCAATCCCTTCTTATCCTATACTCGAAACTTTTTCTTCAGCAACCCAACCTGAAACAAGGGAACTTAGTGTCTATATAAGGAAAAAGAAGAAGGCCTATTCCACGGGACACTACACAGTCTAGAAATGTTCAAGAGCTTAATCTAGTTCCATTGTCCTTGAACGATGATGAAGTTCTAAGATCTTTGAATAGCGATAATATTGCCCCCTTAATTGATACATCTGACTTTTCTATTTCTCAAAGAAAAAGTGTCATGAGTTGTACTCGTCATCCAATATAGAAGTATGTGGATTATAAGAAGTTAATGCCTTCATTCAAGGGCTTTACTACCAAAGTTGATAAAGTATCTATTCCTAAATCTGTGGACGAGGTCTTGAAAGATCCTAGGTGGAAGAAAACTGTTGAAAAGGAGATTAAGGCGTTATAGGAAAATAAGACTTGGGTTATGACTGATATACCTCCGGGAAAAAAGGTTGTAAGTTGTAAATGGTTATTTACAGTTAAATATAATACTAATGGGAGCATTGAATGATTCAAGGATAGAATTGTGGCAAGAGGATTCACTTAGTTATATAGGATTGATTATCAAGAGACATTTTCATCGGTTACAAAATTTAACACCATTCGTATCTTGTTGTCCCTTGCTGCCAATTTAAATTGGTCACTTCTTCAACTTGCTATTAAAAATGCCTTTCTTAATGGGTCTTTGGAAGAAGAAGTGTATATTCAGAGACTGCCTAATTTATGTTTGAATTCTAATTCAAGTCAAGTATGTAAACTCATCAAATCTTCATATGGCCTCAAACAATCACTACGTGCTTGGTTCGATAGGTTCACTAAGGCCATTTTGAAATTTGGATATCTATGATGTCAGGCTGACCATACTCTATTTGTTAAGATATTTTTGGAAAACAAGAAGGCTATTTTAATATTCTATGTTGATGATATAATCATCACAATAGATGATTCTTTTGAAATTACAAAGTTGAAGGAATTCTTGGCAAAAGAGTTTGAAACTAAGGACCTTGGTTGCTTAAGATATGTTCTTGGTATGGAAATGACCAGATCGAGTAATGGAATTATGATCAATAAGAGAAAGTATGTTTTAAATTTGTTATCCGAAACTACAATGATGGGCTGCAAACTTGACGAGACACCTATGGAGCATAACTTAATATTTAGAATTGATGACACTGGACTTCCGGTTTACAAGGGATAATATTAACGACTGGTAGGTAAGATTATTTATTTATCACTTACAAGGTTGGACATTGAGTTCTCGGTTAGTATTGTAAGTCAATTTATGAATGATCCTAAAGATGAGCATCTAAAGGAAGTGATCAGGATCTTTCGATACTTGAAAATGACACCTGTTCGTGGAATGATTTTTACCAAAAATACGAGCAGGAAAGTGGAGGTATTCACAGATACAAGTTGGGATGGAGAACTTACATCCATAAGGTCCACTAGCAGTTATTGTGCTCAAGTTTGGGCTAATTTGGTGACGTGGAGGAGTAAAGAAGAGACAGTGGTGTTGAGAAACATTGTAAAGGCTGAGTTTCGAGCTTTGGCACAAGTGATTTGTGAAGGAATTTGAATACAAAGACGGCTGACGGAAATGAAATTGAATCATAGTGCAGACTTTGAACTTAATTGTGACAACCAGTTAGCAATTAGTATTGCCAAGAATCCGATACATCATGATAAGACAAAACATGTGGAGCTAGATCACCATTTCATTTCTGAGAAGGATACTAATGGGACAGGTAAACTCAACTTTGTTTCCGCTCATGAACAGCTAGTTGATGTACTCACTAAGGCACTTCCAAGAACCGCCTTTGATGAGCTCACATCCAAGCTAGGACTCCACAATATATACTCACCAGCTTGAGGGGTAGTGCATGTACATTATAAATTCTGAAATATTTGTTAGTTAGCTATAAATTAAGATTCTTAGTCTTATCTCTATATTAGTTTTGAAGAGAGTTTTACTTTACTTAGGATTGTTCTCTAGAGTTCTATAAATTAGGAGTTATTCTACTTTTCTATTCAAGTGAAATAAAAATCAGAGTATTTCTTTCTTCACTAAAACTGACAGACCTCCTTATATTATATTGTTCGATATGAAAGCATTTCTAATACTCACGAACGCAGAAGTATTCTCTTATGCTAAAATATTAAATTTCTCCAGTATTGAGGCGCGTTCTTCTTTATTTTTTATCAGAGAACATTTATATAATCTTTTATACTACCATAGTGTTGAGGCGCGTTCATTGTGTTGCCACAGTATTGAATAAAAAATAAAATTAATATCACTTTAATTTTCATTTTTGTTCATTCAAACTTTAAAAGTTCAAATTCAAATCTAACTCAAAATTTAAATTAATTCCAATAGTTTTAAATTCAAAATTTTTAAGTCAAATCTAGTTTTACTCATTCATATTAATAGGTTTAAATTATATCAATTTTGTGAGTTAACTCGCAAATACTAGATAATTAAATCGTATATTTCTAAGATTGACAATCCTTTTCAAATGAAATTATTAATTATATTTTTTATAAATTGTAATTGATAAATATAATTATTGTATAATGTCTAAATTACTTCCAACTTTCGAACCTTTAAATTTAAGGTTACGGCAACAATATTATTTATAAAATTAAAATCACGACTCAATTCAAAATTATCAATAAAAGTATAATTATAAAATTTGTAAATATCAAATATGATAAGATGGCAATGCATCATACAATAATATTACTAGTAAATTATTGATAAATCAATAGCATATGCCTTATCCTCCCCCGCATTGTTGATAAATGATAAATATGCTGCGACAATTAAGCGTTGTCAAGCTCACGAAACATAAATTACATTAGTTCTTCAGTCATTTATTATTGGATAAACTACATTAGATACCATCAAACTTTAAGTGTTGTATTGTTTATACCACTAAACTTTCATTTTTGCTAATTATAGTACTGAACTTTGATTTTTATTGGATAAACCACGCCATCGCACCATTAACGATTTAACATTTCAGTAGTATAATTAAAACGAAAATCAAAGTCCAGTGCTATAATTGGTAAAATTGAAAGTTAAATGGTGTGAACAATATAATGCCTAAAGTTTGGTGGTATATGATGCAGTTTACCCTTATTATTACTTAACCATTTCATTAACAGGTTCTGTAAACGAGCTTCCATTGTTTATTCCTTCAAATACGTGAGAACACCTCGGAGATGAACTTAATCAAAGAGCAGAGTCCACCCAGGAAATTATGATCAATAACACCTTCGCCTTCCGCAACATGAGCGAAATCGATGAGTTTAACTTCGGCGAACGGAGTCCTTCCTTTCAAAAGTGATTCCTCATCAAACAAGATGAGAAGTGAAGTTGAATTGAAATGATAAATGGTTTGATCCTCAAACCATGTTTTCAGCTCCAGTAATTGCTCCAAAACCCCTGCAGGACCGCCATATACGCTGCGAGCGAAGCAACAATCCAGTTTCGCATTTGAACCAACCGAAGAATTCGATGAAACAAACTTCCTCAGAACTAATCTAACATTGTCAGCAGTAAAACTCAGGACATCCTTCCTTGCAGACTTCCAAAATCCTGATTCCTTGCTTTGATATATCTGCAATCCAGATATTCTAAAGCCTAGGGACACAGAAGTAGTTGTTCTATCTTTCTCCAGGCACCTTTGGATGTAATCATCGGATGCTTCGGGGTACCATGTTCTTGAACCCATTTTAACATCCAAAATAGATGGATTAAGGTGATTCGAGGCTAAATCTTGCAGGACTAGGTGGGGGCGTAAACCGGACCCATCGGAGGCCTCCAAGAGTTGGCTGCCATAGAAAACGGGAAAGAATCTGCGGATGTGGTCCGGAACCAGTGTATCGGAAAATAATGACTGATAGAAGGCCAGCTCCTTGGTGCCGCGTTCATTGGCCTGAAGAGGCTTGTAAAAGCGTCCTGAATCATCTACGAGGGGGCCAAGATTTCCATCAATGGCTTGATGACCTGCAACCTGATGCTCTGGAACCTTAAGCATGATGCACAAACTCGAAACTGCGGTTGACCTGCATGACAAAAACTTGAACCTTTTGCACTCAATATTTCCCCCTTTTTGACAAATCAATCAAACAACACAATCATAATATGAAGTCTTTTAATTCTTAAGCAATTATGGGTTCAGTTCTAAAGACATTATGTAACATTTTACACTGTAGATCAGGCAACTCAAACCACTAAAAGGCAGCTAACAACCTAATTCCATTAGAAAACCTGTCTCCTTGGTGTTTTCAAAACATGGAAAAATCAATAAGTAAAGAATCCACACAGAATTATGATCGATAACATCACCAAATTCTTTAAAGAAAACAAAAAAAAAAAGGGTCAAGGAAAACAAATAGTTTGAATCAGTTCAATTCCTTTGTTTTCCCTTAAAATAGATGGATTTACACTCTACATTTTCAACTTAGTTTTCATGCTAAACAAACACCCTTCGGCTAAGAACCAGTATAACGTTCTATGTTTACAGAGACTTCAGTGTGAATATGTGGGTATGTTAATTTTTTTCTATGTTTTTCCATGTACTTGGAGACCTTAAATTCATATACTCGTACTAATGTTTGAATCACATCGATTAAAACGATCAAAGAACACCAAGATTTAAATTGAAAACCCAAAAGAGGAAAATTACGAGCAGAGGAGAATTTCATAATGTCGAAAAATACAAGATATGATACAATTATTACATCTCAAAACTCTAATCTCTATTTTATGTTTATAGGCTTCGCCCGCACTGCTGACCTCACACTTTTACCGCTATTTTCATTGTAAATTCATGAACAGGTCTAAGAAGAAATTAGATCATAACTAACATAACATATATTAAATTAACCAAAAGAAATGCATAAGATTAAACCTATGGACCATTAAGCTGATCTAAGCAGCTGCTGCACAATGATCGTTTTCACGCACCTTTTTTTGTCAATAGCAGTACTAAATATCCTCGCGTTTTCTTTTTACAAAAGGAAAATCAATAAAATCAAAATGTGGGCTAAATTGAGCTCTACTTTTTCATCCTCATCGATTACTCTCCTTTGTGTTTATTCTCTTTTACAAGAAATTCCAATAACGAATATGGGCATCTTGCCCAGAATCAAACACCAGGAATGCCGAATGAAACCCAGAAAATAAAAGAAAATCTAAACAATTAAAACAGATCATCACGGAAAGAAAGAATGATGAATTTACAGTTGGTGGAACCGGAGGTTTTGCAGGGAAGAAGGATCATTAAATTTGCAGGTTTGCGTTAGATTTAAGAGAGAATCCCTGGTCGAAGATTGTAGTGTCGAAGGCCGTTGGCATGCGGAATCGAATCATGTTTCTCAAGTGATCTAATGTTGTCAATTCCATGGAATAAAGTAGAATAATTTAAGAACAAAAAAAAATTAGCGGAAACAGGCCACGAAAAAGAGAAAATAACCTCAGTGACTAAAAATGCCTTATAATATACGATTTTAACTAACTTTTTTTGGATTTACCAAAATGACCAACTAAATCGCAATGCGATCGATAATTCGCAACGCGATCTCTGGTATCGCAAATCAGTTTCCATATTCGCAACGCGATTCTGACTATCGCATTGCGATTTCCCAAATTCGCGATGCGATTTCCCAAATTCGCGATGCGATTTTCCTAATTCGCAATGCGAATACGTAAATCGCAACGCGAATTTGGAAAATCGCAATGCGATTACGTAAATCGCAATGCGATTACGTAAATCGCAATGCGAATACGTAAATCGCAATGCGAATACGTAAATCGCAATGCGAATCTGTAAATCGCAACGAGATTCTGACTATCGCAATACTGAATTTCAAATTCGCAACTCGATTTCTGAATTCGCAACAGGTTTTAATTTCGCAACACAAATGTTTTGGGTATATAACTACGCAGCAGCAGCAGCAACTCATAACCTAAATCCCTAAATCGCAACTCATTCCATCTCCATCTATCACTCTCTCCGGCGACATCCGTTCATATATCCAACGACATCCTTCCCCATCCGGCAACAGGTTTTAGTTTCGCAGCTCGTTTGTTTAGTAAATTAATTTACAATAATGAAATCATCTAATGTTGATCATGTTTGGATAGATTTTTGTTTTGGAGGGTCATGGGAGAATGTTCATGGTGTTTTACAATATATGCCTTTACCCATGAATCTTCAACTAAAACTGTCATTAAAAAAGTTAACTTATGAAACTCTAATATTACGTGTTGCAAATAAATTGAATTTAGAGCCCCTAAGTGAATTTAGGCTATCTTATCAGAGAAATGGTAAAGTTTATTTGTTAACCGACAATGAAGATGTTGAACGATTCATTGCTTACATTAGTGTTTCAAGTGATGATGTTACATTGTATGTTGTTGAACTTAGAAATAGTGAAGTTGGGTCAGTAGCGGGTAGTAATCAACTAAGTTTTTCAACCCCAGTTTATGGTGCTCAAAATTTAATGGTTCCACCACAATTTCATCACCAAGCAAATATTGTTTCACCACATTTCCAATACCAAACACAATATCAAAACCCACAACCTTTCCCTAATCCAAATCCCAATCAACTTTCAGCACCAAATTCCGGTTTTCGTATTAACCAGTTAGACGATGATGAGCTAACAGAAAAAATTGTGAGTACTAGTCAGTATTCAAAATTTGATCTTGGTCAATACCCGGACTTTGATCTTGGTCAATACTCGGATTTTGATGATTTTTCAGAAGAAGAAACAGACCCTGCGTGTAATGATTTTGATATTGGTCAATACCCGAATTTTGATGATGAAACAGCCGTTGCCGAGAAAGATGTTGTTGATGATAATGAGGAGGAAGTTACGACTGTAAATGAACATGTTGAACATCCATTCTGTAATTCATATAACACTGAAGAAGAAAAAGAAGAAGAAGAAATCCCCAAAGAAAAGTCCCCGAAGAAAATGCCACGGGAGTATAACTGGAATATGCCAGAATTACTTCAGATACTGGAAGAAGAGTTGGTAAAGATAGCAGTTGATTGTTACACAAAAATTATTCGTATCAAGAAAGATGATTGTTTTGATACAAAGGAAGACTTGAAGATAGCTTTGTATACGAAATGTGTGGAAGATGGCTATCAACTAAAAGTTAACAAATCAAGCAAAGATCGTTTCGAAATAAGGTGTATGATTGACAAAAACTGTATGTGGCGTATGATTGTAAAGAGGATAAAAGATTGCGAAATGGTTCAAGTTAGGACTTTTATTGATAATCATACATGTTCAAGAACCCAAGTTTTTCCTCACCATAGACAGGCAAACAAAAAGGTGTTGGGTGGTTTTCTGGCTGAGTTAATGTTTTTGAATGGTAGGGTATATCGGGGACATGAAATTATGACTGACATGAATGCTCGGTTCAAGATTAGTATCTTATATTCTCAAGCTTGGAGAGCCAAATGTTATGCCTTGGAATTGTTGAGGGGGTCGCCAGAAGCATCGTTTGCCCAACTGCCGGCTTATTGTCACAATTTAAAGCTGAAAAATCCTGGGTCGGTAACTCATATCAAAACAGATAGAGATGGACGCTTTGAGTTGCTGTTTATCGCCATTAGTGCTGCGGTTAGTAAATCAATATAATTTTGTTGACTCATTTTTGTTAGTTACATGCATTTCACATTTAAATGATTATATTTCTTGTGTATATGATTTTGTAGATTCGTTCGTTTATTAATTGCATGCGCCCAGTTATTATAGTTGACAGAGCACATTTAAAAGGTCGATACCTTGGAGTAAACTTATTAGTAGTAGCCATGGATGCTAACAATGGGATACTGCCAATAGCTTACGGGGTTGGCAAATCTGAAACCACTGATTCATGGACATGGTTTATGGGGCATCTTAGGGATTGCATAGGTCCTATTAGCAATCTGACAATCATATCTGATAGGGCAAACTCAATTGACAACGCTGTTAGAAGGTGTTTCCCAGATGCTTTTCATGGACTTTGTGGTGTTCATTTGTATAGAAATCTAAAATCAAGGTCTGCTGGTATAAAAAATCACAAATGGACATACTGGAAGGCTGTAAAAGCTTATCGGGAAGTGGATTTTAATAAGCATATAAACTATTTAAGACTTGTTTTGCCTCAGTGTGCTCAAACACTAGAAGATGTCGGGTTTGAAAGATGGTCAAGAGTACATCAACTTGGAGCAAGATATGGTTTCATGACGTCTAAGTCGTCATTCCCGGAAATTACCCATTACTATGTTAATGGAGTTTTTTCGAGCCTCTATTCAACAGTGGTACTACAAGAAAAGAAACCATGCAGGTATTATTTCTTAAAATTCATAACTTACCATATATTTTACTAAGTATTATTTATTTAAATTTACAGGAACATTGGAACATCGTGTTACACCATGGACAGAAAAAAAGATAACGAAACGTGTTGTGAAGTCAACGTCATGGAGAGTTGAACCATGTTCAAACACTTTGTTTGAAGTACTGGATAATAACTTAAATGGGCTTGTCGATCTAAATGCAAAGACGTGTAGTTGTATGAAATGGCAAACATCTGGTTATCTGTGTGGCCATGTTATAAAAGTTTTTCTTCATCTAAACCAAGATGATTCAAGCGCATACGCTATGGATTGCTACACTACATAAGTATATCGACAAACTTATGGCGAGATTGTCTACCCTATTCCACATCCTTCTGAGTGGGACATACCAGATAACTTACAAACAGTTTTTCCACCATCCATGGACAGAAGGCTACCTGGCCGACCAAAAAGTCACGATCGTATACTGTCTAAGGGTGAAGAGAAGAAGAGATCGACATATAGTCGGTGTAAGGAAAGTGGTCATACAAGGTTGACATGTGGATCACCAGTGCCATCACAATCATCTTTTCCTCTACCAAAATATGGATCCTCATCAAAATCCCAATCACAACCGGTTTCACCTTTTGGAACTGTTAACTTAGGTGATTTTTAAATGCAAACGTTGTATTATGTGTATATTATGTGTGAACTTTTAATATTTTCAGTTAGGCATGTATTAGTAACTTGAGTTTGAACATTGCTATGATATGTTCAGTTGTTATCACTTATTAGACATTCATTTGACTATCGCAA